AAATACTGTAACCTTTATATCTGTAGCTGGCTTTCTTAAGCAGAAGAAAGCAAATAAATTGTCATCATATAATGTCTTAAAAAAAACAATTTGTTGGTTTTTTTTGGATATTGGCTCATGCGCTCTGCCCAGAAGCAAAGAATTTCCCTATGACTGAAAGAAGGTCTGTTTTTATGACAGAAATGTATGTTAGTGCCAATAAAGTCTGTTAATCTGATTAAAATGTGGTTTAGTTAGGCCAAAAAAGGTTTGCTCTCAACTGTACTTGGCATAAAAGCTGACAAGAAGTAAAAAGCATGTTAATGAAGACATTTAAAAATATTCTTGCAATGTAAACAGTTTTAAAAAGGAAAAAATAATTATAACCTTGTGTAGAAAATACCCATTTCTTTAATTGTATAAAATTGATGCATCTATTAATGGGAATTGTTTTTACAAGGTTGTATTTTCTATAATCAACCAATCATTCAATTTTATACCTCCAGTATTTTCCTGTTGTTGTATATGTGCCAAGAAATACTGGCTATGTTTCTCAAATGTGTGGTGTTGTGATAGCTGTATATAATTTCAGAATTCTGTGTCATGCTGGGTTCAGAAAAGCCAGGGCTTTTTGCCACTCCTAAACTAGGAGTTTATGGAGGGTCTTTCAGGGATTGGTACCCATACCAGTCTTAAGTAGGTATTGTCTGATGCCTTGTCTGATAATCTAGACAGTGCCGTGACCCTCTGGGTTTTAGTAGGCCTTTAAAGAAGTTTAGCACAAAACATTTCTGGAGAGAGGCCAAATGCTTTTAAACCACCTTCTGAAATTTAGAAAGTCAAGATTTGTTACCATTTTATTTGTTGGCATATTTTACTTTTAATGACAGGTTGCATGATAATCTTAAAAATAACACTTTAGCCAGGATTTTTGCTGCCTTTTCTCTCCATCTTGGGACTACATAACATTATCTCATGTAGCTATTATAATGTTCAGTGATTTCTACCCTTTTCTTCAGTCAAATCTCCTCCTGTTCCTCCCCAAAAAAGCCCTAAAGTAAAGCTTTGGAAACTTGTTTTTTTTGTAGCTTGGAATCTAAACAGCTTATATCACTCCTGTTGATACTTCAGTGCACGTGCCATGTTGGTGCTGGTTTCCAGAAAAGAGATGTTTTACTAAAATTTTCTGTTCTTGTAATGTTTATTTTGAATAACAGTTCAGCTGGATGCTGGTGTGTAGATCCCGTGGTGGGTTTGCAGCCTGCACATACTTGTGGATGTGTAATTAATGGCAGCAGGACAACAACTATAGGAGCTACAAAAGCTCTGCAGGGATAGTTGCACCTTGCACCTAAAATAATTTCATAATGCTTTAAAATTTCAGTCTGAGAGTTGAGAAGTACTTGACCTGGCTGCAGGTAACTTGAATCAGGTATGGCAATTGTCCTGTTTTTTATGTTCTTCCACTTGGATCCTGCAGTTGTTGGAGCTGCAGTATTAGAGATATGAAAAGTATTGTTGCTTATATTCTATACCATTAACCAAATATGGAGATTCAATTTTTTTGCTTATTTTGCAGATGGTATCCTGTACAATTTACTCACAATTGTTCAGACTTTCAATTTCTTGGCTATTGAGCTTCTGCTCGCTGATGCAGAAAAATGGAGACCACTCCTCACTGTGGAACATGCCTTATAGAGAAGGAAGAAAGCACTGAAGGGAGGTTTCCTCCCGGTGTATTTATCAACAGTCAGGGCACTGTGGAAAGACATTACAGAGATTCCTCTCTTTGCCCAAAGATGATGAGGGTATTGGTTTTAGGATTCCTTACCACCTTTCATATGCTCACAAACAGAATTACAGGTGCTTTCCTGACTTCATCTATATCTGCATGATCTGATCACCATCGTGCTTTTCTTGTGTCATCATGGCCGTAATTTCTTTCTGCTTCAGCTCAAAGGATCCGATCAGAGCCTGCCCTTGTGGTAAATAAAAAACTACAGACTGCTAAGAGCTGTTGTTGCTTAAGCTTACTTAACATCCCAGCTAGGCAGTACAAATCACTTCTGGTGATTGATGTGAGGCAACAAAAAGAGCTTCTCCCAGAATTCCTCTAAGAGGGATTCAGGTACTTTGGATGGTCTTTTCTAGACTTCTTTTTCATTCTTTTGAATCTTCATAAGGGCAATGGAGTATTCATTGACATTTCTCATCTCAAAATGCAGAAAAATTTAGTTGTTTCAGCCTGAAATACATATTTCTGTGTAGGAATCAATCAGGCTAGGGTTTTTGATAGCTAGAACACAAAAATTACCAACCTTGTTTATTCTTTACAGTTCAAGACAAGTCTGCTCAAGGGAAGAATTATGTATGAAAGGATAAAAATAAGAGTTTTGCCTAGATTGTGTAAAAGGAGAGATACCATCATTTTGATGTAAGAAAAAGAATTTAAAAACAAATCATTCCTAACAGCTTATTTCAGCTTGATCTTTCAGAAACTGTTTAGCTGTTTCCATGAGAACATCAATGGACATAATCCTCATAATGTCTTTTATTTTCCCCTTAAATTTGACGTTGGATCTTTGTGCCTTCTGCTGAAGAAAGGACATGGATCAAAAAAGACCAAGTACTCCTCTCTCCTATGGTCCTGAAGCTGCAATAGATGATGTTGGACTATGTGTTGAAAGTGATCTGGAGTTTTTTTTCCATTGAACAGGGTCTTTCATGTGAAAGGCTGTTTCTTACAGAGGCCCTGGACAGATTCCTGTTCAAAAGGAACTCGAAGTAAGCTGGGTCATGCTGCTTCGTCTGAGCCGATCTGCTCTGATACCTCCTGTTGTTTTAAATATCTGGATACATTCTGTTGCTGGAAAATAATACTGACTTTGGAAGTCAGTAGTGTTTGTAGGCTTCAATGCATCGCCTGAAATGAAGTCTGTGGTACTGTGTATGGCATTGTGGTTATGAATGATAACTAGTATTAGAGCAATTTGCAATGCCTTAAATCTCAGGAACTTACCAAATTATCTGGTTTAAAAGAACCTTCTGTTCACAAGGAAGTCTTTAAGGAGAAATAATGCTTTCAACTGCTACTGTCCTTTTATAATATTTTTCTTAGCCAGCAGGTACAGAGCAGTAGAAATTTGCATTGAACACATTATTTTTATTGTATTTTATCTTCTTTCATTTTTCTTCTGTCTTCTGTACTGGAAGATGAGAGTATAAACATCAGCCTGGAGACATCTCTTGGCCAAGTGCATTTATGTATTTCTGTTGGTCACACACTCTTTCTGGATAGGAAGGCCTCCTTTCACAAGAACATATATGTGGTCTGAAAAGACAGAGCTTCGCTTTCTAATCTTTGAAAGTTTGAAATAATGAGAAAGACAATGTTTTGTCCAGTTGAAGGGCATAGAAACATGTCTTGATCTTAAGCTGATGAAAAGCAATGAAATTACAATAAAAAAGAGCCCTATTTTTGTGAACCACTCCTTCTGGTTAGACTACATCCTCTTACCTTAGCTTGAGATACTGTAACAATATTCAGGAACAAAGAAGCAGAGTATCCTTCTGCATTCCCCAGCAGTTTCTCTGAAAAGAACTTGCTGATTTTTCTGTTTTAATTACTTTAAAATATCAGGATTTGTCCTTGATGGCTTTATCTGTCACTTGCTTAAAGAACAAAAATGTTTCTTGTATGCTACTCTAACTGCAAAATTGCTGTGGTTTTAATGACAAACCTTCCCCACCCCTCCCTATTTTCTTGTATTATGCACAATGAAAAAAAAAGAAAGAAAGCTTTTTTTGAACAGAGGAAAGCTTGCAATTGAAGAACATATTAGGTATGTAATCATATGAAGCTATTTTGTTTAGGTGTGTGCTCTAGAAGAGAGGATGAAGGAACACCACCAATTGCCCCAAAACGAATTAAGCAAAATTCTTCAAACATAATGAGTAATGTACCTTCTTAGTTAACTGTTGGATCATGCTCTACCTGATGTCTTGAGAGCAAAGAAGAGCCTCCTGGTAAAACTATGATGCTTCACGTGCTTCAGCACAGTGACTGCCCCACATGCAAATGTCTAACACTGCTGCTGTGGAGAAGGTACTGCAGTGGATAATAACTAGTAAATGCATTTGTGAGCAGCTTTTCCTGTAGCTGTTGGAAGTCCAGTGACTTCTGGTTCTGTTTTATGTGGGCTCCATGCTACTGACAAAATTTCACAGGAGTCTTAACTAGTTTTCAGGGTTTGTGAAGAAGAAAATTTCAGCTCTCTTACACATTATTTTTGTTTGTTGTTCATGTAATGACAACTCCTAGGGCTTTTGGGTTTTCAGGAATAAAAAGAGGAGTATTTTAGAAATCCAGAAACATGATGCAGGAATTTGAATAGGTTCTTATCTTCCACAGCAATCATAATCTGCTTAGGCTAAATTTAAGGTTGTCACAACAGCATTGAACTGCTGCTAGTATTCAATCAGTCTGATTTTGGCAAATAAAGTAGAAGACTTGAGATTGGACTAAGTCCTTTGCAGAGGAGTTAGGAGTGGTGTTAGGAATCCTTTGGTGAGGGAAACGTTCAGGTAAGTATGACCATTTATTCTAAAAGAGATTATGGGGAGATGTTCACTGCATTGCAATAGATGCCATTTTTAATTCACTTGAGAAAAAGTGAACAGAAGAGAGATTTGGATTATTTTTCCAAGAAATGAGCACTTTAATTCTCCCCTCCCCACTACCTACATCTACTTGTAGACAGAGAGAACTTTCTGGACAAAACATCTTATGATTGATCTCATCTGTTGATAGATGTCTTAATAGTCTTGAAAGTTCACAATTCAACACTTTGGGGTTGGTTTTTTTTGGCATCAGAGCATGAAAAAACTGCATGTCTAGTACTCATCTCTTGTCATCCTCCCCTATTGCAGTGACTATGTGTATGTCTCTGTGTGGCAGAAAATGAGGGAATACAGATCATTATTCAAGAAGTTACCAACTAGCACTTTTCCTTCCCCTCCAGTCTTTCTGCCTCCCTATCCTGGAAGTATGGAGTCCCTGCCTCAGCCTACGGCTTCATTCTTTTTCCAGCTGCCCACAAAAGTAAAGAAACCAGTGTGAGAGTTTGAAGAAAGAATCCACTCAGAGGACTGAGTCTCAAGCAAAAGCTCCAGGTTGCAGACTCAGAAAGAAACTTCCTTTGGGGAAGGATCTGCTTCCAGGATTTGCTCGTCTCTTTTTCCTTGGGCAAACAGTTCTTGAAGCAAACAACAGGGTTGCAGGTAGGTAGGGCCCCTTTGAACTGCCGTCCACTCAGGTGTGAAGGATGACTTTATGCTGTTTCTCTGTGCGTTTTTTTTGTTGATGTTGTCTTCCACTTCTCTAGGCTGAGAGAGGGAAAGAGCGTGAACATTGTAAAGAAAAGTGTTGGGGAGAGAGAGAGGAGAAAAATGTTCTGGGCACTTGGAAATAATACCTCTGTGTAAGCTTCCTGTCCATGGGTCATATTTGAACTTCAGTTCTGTGAAGCACTAATGATGTTCTTGGTGTGACCCTTCTCCTGACAGGAAAGTAAGTCAAGAGCAGAAACTGGTGGCTGGAGCCAAGATAAGGCCAGTGATTGGGTATGGTCCATAGCCACACAGTTTTCATCTCCTCCCTTTCTCTTTACACTAGTGCTAGGTTTGAATGTGCAGTAAGGTGGAGATCGTCAAATGGGTTTGAAGTCTGACTTGATTCCCAGCACTGAAAAAGTTTCCAGTCCTAAACATGTAAATACATTTCTTCCTTTAGAGGAGCCCGTGGCTGCTGGGTTTGTAAAGTCCTGTTCTTTTGTCCATGTGAAGGAAATGGACTGGAACACTGATTAGGGGGATGTGCTGCTAACCCACGCAATCAGCAATCCCTCAGGTCCAGAGAAAGGGAATCAGCTCAGGTAAATTCTGCCTTTCTCGCTTCATGTTGTGCAGAGCATCAGCCTCTTCCTTGCAAACATCAGTAGCCCGCAGTCAGACCTTTCTTTTTCCAGCTGTGTCACTGCTGGCATGGGAAGTTTTTTTAAATTCCTTTTTGATTTTTGGCAAAAGAAATCACTTGAAAACTGGCAATGAAATTCTAAGGAGATTTTATCAGTTCCTCTTTCGTGCTGAGTTGAAGTCATTTGGAACTATGTTACATGCATTATTACTTTGGTGCATCTTGTGACTCTCTCTCCTCTTCATTCCCTCCAAATTGCTTCAGGACACCTTCTAACCTTTATACTGCATCACAAGCCTTCGGCAGAAGATCTTATGTTGATGGAAGATGACTGGGTTTGGATCTTGGCCTTCCCTAAGCAGGATCTCCTGGCAAAAAATGGGATTGGGAAAGAAATGACTCCTTTTTCCATCACACAGAATCACCCTAGAAATGGAGGCCTAGGCAGAAAATTGCTCCTAATACATTGTTCTATAGGAAATGTGTTTAGCCTCCCATGGTCCTTTTGTTACAGTGTCATACAGATATCCTTTATAAAATCTAAACCTGGCATCTTCCTATCTGAAGATCAAGCCAATGAATCCAACATTAAGAGTTTACAGATTTAATAATGTGGTCGGGTCTTGCTGTCCCTTGCATAGGAGATGCCACGTGAATCTGTGAAAGAGGGTTCTGCTGTGGTTCAGACTGTTATATTTGTAACGCCTTTTCTACTTACATTAAAGTAATTAGAAATAATAAAGGTTCTTGTGAAAATGGTATTTAGACTTCTACCTTGCCGGGTTTACTTAAAAATAAATTTGAGCCAAAATGTCATAATGGGCAATATGGAAAATACTGCATCTTTTGAGGTTTCCTGTGGCTTTGTGTCACAAAAAAGTGTGTTGGAACTGTTGAGAGCTGTAAAAGTGGAAATCTTAGATTTTTCTTTAAGAGTGAGAAGTTGTTTGTTAGAAAGTAGAAAGCTTTTAATTGTTTTCCCCTTAAGGGATTCTGTAGTCAAACTTAATTAAATGTCTTGCAAGATCTCAAATAAAAACTTTTTTTTAGAGGTAGTGAGCAACACACACACGCCTGTGTACTTGTGTTGTTCTCACTGTAGGAAATTAGTTTTGAAGAATGGGACCTACTTCTAATGTTCAGATTAGAAAAGGGGAAAGTTTTGTTCTGAAGCCGAGTGTGAGAATAGGAGGCAGGAAGGTGTACCAGACCCTCTGGCAGTAGGTGAAGAGCGCTTTCATTGTGCTGTTTTCTGCTTCTGGCAGTTGAAGTAAACTAGCCAGATGCTTGTACTTGAATCCAATTAATTTCTTAAATCAGTTACCACAAAACATTGTTTTTTAACTAATGTCTAGATCTTTTGTTAAATTTGCCATCTTGTTTAAATTATTTAATAGCCTTAATGTGAACCTGAGGCTACTGCTTCATGGCAGTTGTGACTTCTTACTATTCTGGAATGCATTGCAGTCCTAGTACATTCTAAAAATAATTGTTCAGATGGTGCTGCTTAAGTACATACTTATGTAGTGAGCCATTTTCACTGGACTTTCTGAAATTGGCTTTCTGTTGGATGGCTTTTTAATATCTTATTTTGCTGTCATTATCAAACTTGTTTATCTTGCTGCTTCTGTGGTTATTGAGTAAAGCACTGAATTTATAACCTGGTATTTTTAGAGAACTGATAAGTCACATGACTGTGTTAAACTATGCAAGCACAGTAACGCTTGTTAACTTTGAAGTTTAAAAAGAAATCGGTTTAATGTATCAAATTCAATCATATTATAATATGTGGAAATATGTATGTGATGAACTTAAAAAGGAGTAGTTGTTACAGGTATAGATTAATTGTGTACTGAACAGAAGTAATCTAGATGTGAATAGCTGAAGATGTGTGGGTCTCAGAAATTGATTCTAACATCTGTGACTAGAGTTCTGTGCCAGCAGTGCTTTTAGTTGAAAATACCCGTTTTTCAAATTTCTAGTCCATTTAAGGTCTGATATCCTTTGTGCCTTAATAGGTATACTGACACTTGCCTCAGACAGAATTTTTGGTCATTTTGTTCTGTAGTAGGTAAATTTAGGACTCTCAAATACTTATGAAACAGGCACTGAGAACTGTTTATGTTACTGTCTCAGTTCCTAAAATGGCTTAACTTCTCCCCATCACAATTAGGAAACAAAACCACTAAAACAAAAGCAAATACCAAACTAAAAAGCCTGTTGCGATTCTACCGTCAGTATTTTGATACTTGTCTATCACCGTTGCGTTAGTGTGTTTCTGTCATGCTCTGAGTTTTACAGTTGGAATCTTGGGTTCTTGATACCTCCTTAGAACAATAACTCCTGCCTTTGTGTTATTAAATAATAAAGATATCTGAAACAATTTTCTTCTTGTTTATATTGTACTTGCTATAAGTGTATGTACCAAGTGACTCTTCTGACAAACTCCAGAATGCCAGGAAACATGGAAAAACACTGTATGATTTCAGAGGTTTTTAATGCCTGGTACTAACAGAATTTCAGAAAACAGGCATATAATGTGTCTGATTTTCCTCTTTCTATTCTCTTAAAGATTTCTTTGAGCATTTGAGCTACCTAACTCACTTCATATAATCCTTAATGTCTTCTTGACCAGATACCAGCTCCTCCTAATTGTTTCATAGCCGGTCGATAAAATCCTGGCTTTTGATACTGTTTTTCCTGTCCCAGAAGAGCTATCTTGTTTAACTTGAAAGTTTTGCTTTCTTCTTTTCACCTTCTGTCCACCCTCTGTGGCTTATGCTGCAGCTCTTTCTCTATTACAGGATGCTTTGAGGAAATACCCTGTAAAGATCAGGAAATTTGGGGGAAATTCTTGCTGATGTTGCTACTTCAGCCAGAGCTAAACTTGTCATTTTGTGTGAGTGATGCATTGTCTGTTTAGTTTCAGGAAGGGCGATGTATCAAAAAGTGTTATTTTTGTAAACCAGAAAATTATTTTGATTTTATAAACAAGAAAGTGAGACCAAAGAGCACAGGTTCTGGGGTGTTTGTATCCCTTACTTTACACTGAGGAGGTGGGTAACAAAACATGAACAATTTCCTGTGATTTTCTGCAAGCCAGACTTGTTCCTTCAGCAGTAGTGTGCTTTAAGTTGGATTTCAGTCCTGTTTGCAGGACAGGGGATTTGAGCAGTGTCAAAAATATTTTTTCAGCTCTTTTTTTAATTGGAGAAAGTCTGCTCATACCTTGGTTTATCAGACATGAAAGCATCCCTGAGTCTTGAAAGAAATGAATGTGATTTAGGGGTAGGTTTAGAAAAAATGGTCTTAACTAAAATCTAGAAAAAGGCATTTTCTAAAAGCAGTGGTGACAAATGGTTGAGCCATTCCAGTTTTGTTTGTTGCATGGACTTGGCGAAGAATTGGCGGCTGCACGGCTCCTAGGACAGGTCCGTAAGTTGATGTCAGCAACATGAGGTGAGTTGGTGGGTTGTTGCAGGAATTGCTGTGTTTTGCTATTTAAGTTGGGTTGTCAGTTTAAAGACCATATGAAGTTTGTGATTCTTTTGCTGATGACAGCTTCTTGCTAATTTTTTTTAAGAATATAAACTTACTCTTCTCATAAACTGTTTTGTATTGTTTTGTTTCCTTGGTTGCTCTCCCATGAGTGGCTTTGCTTTCTCCCTGGTAGAAACTGACATTTCTTGTTTTCTCTGTGTAAAGAAGTGGAGATCAGGAAAATGTGTGGGTTTTAGCCTGGTGTTAAGGAACAGTAAGTGAAGAAATTATACCTTGCACAAATGGGTGTCACTTTCATGGGGACAAGATAATATTTTATCTTGAGAGAGGGTTGTAGGAGGTTACACAGTTAAGGAGGCGTATGGCTTTTGGTGGTTTTCTTCTGGATAACTGCTCCAGCAATTGTAACCATACTAGGATCTGACCTCCTCTTGCCAGATTCAGGTTAAGATATCACCTGTAATTCTAAAGAAAATAACTTTTGAATAAATAACAACTTGTATGGTTATAAATGGATTTAATGAGCTCATAAGTGAGCTTTGAAGATAGAAATGTGATTTATATAGATTTTCCCTAACTATAACTTTGTCCTGACTTGAACTGCGGTTTCTTCATTGGTTGGAATTACTTTAGAGCTCGCATTAAAGTGTCCTTATCCATTTGAATGTTTCAGAGGAACTTCCACATACCTGCTGCTGATGTGTTTAGAACTTCTAGGAATAGTGAAATTTGTAATATTTCTTTTAATGGTTTCCTGGTCTCTGGTAGTACTTTGTATTAGATGAGAAAGCATGAAAAATTGATTTGCAAAATCTTTGTGTGCATATATAAGCAATGGAGAGATGAAATCAGAGGGAAGTATGTAAGAGTAAATGAAGAACAGCTGACATCAGCACAGCTGCTGTGTACAGATGGAATGTTCCTGGGTGACTTCAGGATTACAGTGAAATTGAGGCTTAGTTGGATACTGAAGCAGCACAGGAACTGGACTAAGCAGCCGGCTTATGTAGGAAGTCTCCCTTAACAGGCAGAAGATGTGACAGAAAATAGCTTGAAACCTTTTTTCCCCTCTAGAAGCAATGACAGAGAAATCCGGACTCATAGATTTACAGCTTGTGTGGTTAGGTTCTCTAGTGTATAATAGAATGTAAGTGCTGATTTGAAGCTTTATTATGCCTTGGGTACTAGTTGTGTTGCTCACCTAGCGGTGTCTAAAACTTGTGTTAACAATGCAGCTTTTTTAAGGGGAAGAAAGTAGGGACAAGTTAGAAGGGCTTCTGGACTTCTACATTTATTCTTACGTAATTTTTTTAGACCTTTTATATCTTTGGCAGCTGCAACACTTGTAGCTGCTTGAAATTAGAAACAGGTTAAAAAATTAATAAGAGCATAAGAGGATATTCAAAGAACTTACCTTAGTTTCCTAATAAATTAAGAGTGGTGATTAAAAAAAAGGATATGCTATACATCAAAAGGTAAAACTTTTGTTGTAGCACATTCTCATCAAACTTTTTATCTTTCCATGTGTTAATCTCTGCCCAATTTTACCTTTACATTATCCTAGAATACAACTAATGTTTTTCATAAATTGCTTAATTGGTTTCTGAACTTTGTAAGCAGTATTTACTATGCACACAAAGTAACTAATTTCTTAAGAGTTTAGGGAAGAATTGTGATTTCTTCTGTTATATATTATACTGTGGATGTTCCTAGAAGTCATTTTTGTATTGATATTTTTTTTCTCTTTATACTTGTACAGGTGATACCTTATAAGTATCTGTTCCCTTGTATTAGTGCTAAATTTTATAAATTTTTTTTAGCTATTCTTCTCTATACTTGCATCTGCTCTGGAGGTTTCTCCCATTTATTCCTTTTGAATGAGTACAATGGTCAGGTCTTTGATACTTCATTTAACTCAGAACTGTTGGGTTTTTTTATAAAGCAGCTTTGCAGATGAGAACAATATTCAGTAATGTTACATTTGTTCAGAGAATAGAAACTTCTGTTCCTATGTCAGTCTTCACATCATTCTCCAAAAATACATGCTACTTGGAAGGTCTGACTGTATCTCCACTTCTAGCAGTCAAACCAGTGCTTCCAGTGTGGCAGTACTGAAGCTACAGGGCATTTTGCTTGTCTCTTCAGGCAACATTAACACCCAAATTCCTGCTTGTAGTTGAACTTGGGTTACGTTTTCACATTAATTTTCTGCCTCCTTCAAAGACTTTTTAAAAACTGTAATTTTGATGACAGTGTAATAATGGTGCAGAAGGCTATCTCTGCTCTTTGGTCATTCTATACAAATTTGCCTATTTACCATTTTCTTGGCTTTAGCGCCATGTATGAATGGATGAGATAAATCTCGAATCTTCACTTGCCATTGCACTTAAGCAGTGAATGGTTTGTATTGCCACATTTTGTCACCCTGAACTGCCATCTGTTTTGTGTCCCTCCTTAAGTGTCTGCTGTTGCAAAATCTGGCTTGCTTTTTGATTCTATGTACTTTTTCCTAATGAAATTCTCCTTTTTGCCTTTCTATAAATACCAAAGTATATGCAAGCTGTTATGGCTTGACTAGCTGTTCCGTTTGGTTCTTAGCACAAAATGCAGAATTAGACTAGGTATTTGAGAACCACTTTGTGTAATCCTTTGATTTAATGAATAGTCTCATCAGTTTGATCGATGTGTAACATTTGCTTATTCTCAGGTTGCTACTTTTTGGAGCTTTGTTTTTATGTGGACTTCACTGGCATAAAATCACGTAGTGACTGTCTCTCTGCGGGGCAGGTGTTCTTGTTGCCTGAAGGAATTTTTTTCTGCACTACCTAAAAGAAAATACAGTAGAACTGCTAAAGCCCTGTATTTGTCCCCCACTTCTTTGCTCCTTTGCTCATCAATTTCTGATACAATTAAGAGGTTTATTTACTTAGCAGACTCCATCCACCATTTAGAGAATCTGTGCTAGTTAGATAAGCCTAGAAAATTAATTAATTTCAATATGATCCATTACTTAATTTATAAAATACATTAATATCAATAAAGCCTCACCCTGTACCAAAATATAGGAATTTACCTTTCAGCTAAAATTACAGTGACTGTAATGTGCTATAAATGCACCTTATAGCTATAAATGTGTTATAAATTCCACCTACCCCCTCAAATCTGAACTTCAGCTTAGTCTGTATAAAATTCAGGATGTAATTATTTTCTCCTTTTTCTCTCTATGCCAAGAAAAGGACTTTGCTTATTACATGAGACCATTGGATGGTGTTTCAGTACAAACATAACTGATTTATTTTATAAGGCAAGGGATTTTATTTACACCCCAAATGAATTCAAATTCCTCATATGCACCTAAAGTTGAATATTGTTCCCTCAAAATTATGACTTAAACATAGTCTGTCATACAAGGATTTTGCTTTGACAGAAATACCCCTAAGGTATAACCCTGTAGTATAAAGTATGGTGTAATATGTGATACACCATCTCTTTTTAACATGACACAAAACTAATTGCCTTCAGAGACTGGAGATTGTACCTTGTTGGGTTTTTTCCTCACAGCTTGAGGTGTTTTAGAAAGGAATAATTTGTACCTGTGAACAGTGTGAAGCTTTGTTAGTGAAGACCACCAATTTTTAATAAGCCCTCTGCCCTTGTTGCCTAGTTGCTGTCTTAGCACACTGACCTTATTTTTTTACTGTGTTTGTATTAGTGTCTTCTTCATCTAAAGACAGTAGATTTTTTTTGTCAAATATTTGAATGTTTATATGTTGTTTTTTACTGTGCTGTTAGTGACAGCTTCAGCTGTTTGTTAGCCTTTTGCTAAATTAAACCATTCTTACAGATATAGGAAGTAGGTGTGTATTTTTAATGTTTTTTATA